CTACACTTATTGAACTAGAAATGTAATTATTTTCTCCATATCATAATTACTTTATACGTTTAATTTCATTGAACCTTTATTTGTAGTTGTCAATGTATAATATATCTCAGTACACTATAAATAGATCAAGAGCTCCATTGGTAAGGATATCGAATAATCGAAAGTTTTAAATTTGATTGACACCTCTTGCAATGTTTCTGTTAGTTAGCCAAATGATTTAAAAATGAAAAGAGAACGTATGAATTATTAAGCTCGTAAGAATTCAGCATTGCAAAAGTTTGAATTTTTCTAACTATTACATATCATTTGGGTGAATGATATGTTTCTACTGAATCACACAATGTTTAACTCATCAAATCAATACGTGATAATATGTGTAATGTTATATCCAACGTTCTGCATATATTTTTTAAATATCATGATTCATTGAGTTGTTGACAATGGTTGTGGTAGGGTATAATTTTATTACAGTGTCTTCTTGAAATAATAACGAACGACAAATAACGTGAAATTTATATGCTAAACACTAGAATCAAGTCATAAAAATAAATATGTAAAAAAATTAATGAGTTATTAATGTTCAACTTATAATAAGCTCACAGCTCTTATAACATAAACGAAGTTCTTATAACATAAACTATGATACTTAAATGCAAGATCAGTTATAAAAACGCGTTTGACACGAGAAAACTGAATGAGATTCCATTATAGAAAGTGAAGCTGTTTCAATCATTCAATTATATAAATCATCGTATCCCTGATCTGTTGATACTACGTTTTATAGTTTTCACATTATTCGTTTTGTATAACTGTAAAATCGTTAGGACACTTACTGCCTTAAACGTTATGTCTCTGTTGTTGAACGTTTTGTATTCTATGACATAAACTGCTGATCAATTTTTATTAAAGTATCTCCTTGAGATGACAAAGAGTGACAAGTGACGAGAATTTTATTTATTTTTAAATAAGTTTCACATGATTAAATTGAATTTAAAAATTTTCGAATCCAATGCCAACCACTTAACTCCACTGTTTACAAATTTTACAATTTCGAGTAGTTCAACTTTTACGAATTACAACGTTACAATTACTTTTGACAGTATTTGAATTACACAGTTTTCTCGAATTAAAAGTTCTCGCACTTCCTGCCTTTAGACGAAGCATCTGTGAAAATATTTCATTGAAACGTTCCCGCGAGAAGTAACAACGTACGTAAGAGTTTCTAACTTCGCTGTTGTATTTGTTTTCAGGTACAAGGAAAGAATGATTAATATCCGAAACATCATACAAGATACACCCTACGATGTAGTGAAAAATCTGGCTTGGTGGACGGAGTATGTGATTCGTACGAAAGGAGCGCCCCATCTTCGCTCCAGCATAACATTCCAACCTTGGTATCAACGTTACGACTTGGACNTTTGTTATGGAGAACGAGAACACAGGGCAGAATATTTGAAAGAATTTAGACGCAACAAGTCAATATTTCTGACAATGCTCGGTGAAGATAATAGTTTCCGAACGTGTCTTAAAAATCCTCTGTCACAGTTGAACAAAACAAAATTTCAAATGAGAAAAAATGCTTTCTAACTGAAATGCAATTGTACAGAAAATACAGCAAAAGTCAGACATAAATACGTTGAAAACAAAAGTTAATTATATATTGTCAATTATATAATTAATTATGAGGAAAAAAAATATATATTTTTTTTTTTTTACTTTTATCAGAGTGTTACAAGTATTATGTAGTGAAATTTCAACAGAGGATTATGTATAGAAATAAATAGAAATAAAGGAAAAATGTTCTGAAAATATAGATCGTTCTCGATTTTATTGTAGAAATAAAGATATAGTAGAAATTTTATTGTAGAAATAAAGATATAAATTAGGTATAGTGTATGTATATATATATACTAAAAAAATTATTCGAACACTTCGGTGGACAAAATCGTCCAAATAAACTAAGAAGTTTAAAAAATAGCAGCTCAACTAGCTTTCTCCATATTTTACAATTACTTGTTTTATTAGTAAAAGAAAATAAATATAAATGACAAAAACTGACTAATTATAAGTGCGTATATACTAACTGGTTCGAATAAACGAGATCCTATCGTGTGGAATATATATTCATATATAGGTTAAGCTCCTATTACATGAATACGTATACATGAAATATGTCAAAGCGACAAATGCAAGTCACATACCAAAAGAAATCTACACAGAAAATGCGTATAGTCGAAAGTGTAATAATTCAGAGATAACAACCATTTCTTCTTCAAATTATATTTTCTGCCGATATCGTATTGTGTCTTCATATATAACATACATATCAGCATATGTATTCGTGTCGTTTTCTAGTAGACCCGAAGTTGGCACTTACGATAGATGAACACATTCCAATATACAGTTCAAAGTTACGATTCACGAACCAATTTCCTGAATTGTAAAAATAGATTCAATTGGCTTCGTTCATGTCGAATTATCGTAATTATCAAATCGCATTTTTAACGAAAAATACACACATGTATTTGCAACAAAATTGCCAAATCATTGACCTCTCTCTCTCTCTCTCTCTCTCTCTCTCTCTCTCTCTCTCTCT